GGAATATGCACGAAAGATGTGGGTTTGCTTTTACTCAGTATAGCGAACTACTAGTAAGTACAGTAGAAAGGTAGGAGGGAGGGGCGGAGGGGGGCCTTGTTCCAACATCACGATCCCGAGATATACATAGCATCCTATCCGCCCCTACATGAACAACAAACCACACCGTAGACATTGATAACTTAGTACCTATTACTGCAGTACCTTGAAACCAAAATGATCAACAAAAAGTACGTCTATTCCAGAAAAGAGAAAAGAAGACCTTTACCTACACCAAGTAAGCCAAAAACCCGGCCCCAAGCGTGGTCAAAGTCCATGTAGTAAGATATATTCCGGGGAAAGATTGTCCGTCCATATGATAGATGATGATATGATTACCTACATACGGAGTATGTACACACACACACATAGACATACACCGAGTAGTAGTACATCATCAGTATGAGTTAACGACTTACATACCGATGATATGATATTGATTTAATGCCCGTCTGTATGTATGTACTCAGTACCGCATAAGTACGTATCTATCTACGGACTAACCACGGAATTTCATCAGTAGCATGTACGAATTTCTCGCCCCTCCTCCCTCCTCCTCTCCCCCCCACAATGCATCCGACCAGGATTGCCCCCCCATGTCATGGACCACCGTTAGCCCAAGGCTCTCCCCCTCGGGTCACGATAAACCGACCTCATCTCCGTCCCTACGGGCAACTAAGACCCTAGGCGGAGCGACCCCCGAAACTGACTGTGGATGAATGGCTGAGAGGCATTTTCTTTCCCTCTTAACACACTCACTCTCTCCAGCGCTAGTTACCTATCGCAAACTTACCCTGTACCCCACGACCTACCTACCATATGCACGGTACATTGGATATACTCCGGTACACCGGACCGTTCAATGAGGCGAAGCTGAGGCGTAACCCAAAACAAAACCAAAAATGTGAGTATACGAGTGATAAGAAAAGAGAGGTAGTACCTACTAGTAAGGCCTACGTACTGGTACTTCCAGGGAGCAAAAAAAGGGGGCAGAAACAAAATGAAGCGAAGGCTACACCAGACAGCAAACGGACAAGCAAATTGAAAAAATTAAGCGACCATGATGATGACAACAATTCATCACAAATCATGCGGATAGAAATAGTTACCTATCCGCCTTCATCATTTGGGGAAATGGGGGAAGCGAAATTGAAACCCGACGGGTAGACAAGACCAAAAAAACCTACATCCAATCTCCAATCTCGAATCTCAAATCCCAATCTCAAGTCCATATCCCTCTTACAACTCATCCGTCAGGTGTTCCCGAAATTCTGGACCTTTTGACGTGCTGCAACATCACATGATTGACGAAACGTGCGCCTGTGATACTTGGGGGCTGACAACTGACGGGTCTGTCAAGTCAGCGTCAGTCGGTCGGTCCGCCCGTCAGTCTAGCGATAAGGGAAAAGGAAGGGGCGATCAGAAAATAAATTAAAAATTAAAAATTAAAAGGCCAATAACAAATCAATCATCGCGATCCAAAGTGATAGGTGATGGCGATGGATCGGGAGGATCTCCTTAATCCTAGTTCCCCGAACCACTTACCTGGGGAGCAGGGGGGTTTACTTTCCCTACGATCCAACTGTGGCGGCTGTTAGTCCCTATGCCTGGATTAAACTAGGACTGCCAAGTTGGAGAAATTCTTTTCTAGCCCCGTGACAATGATTTTAATAATATTAATAGTAAGAAAAGAAAAAGAAAAGCACCACGACTTTGACACCTGCTCTGGGGCAGGCCGGGGCAGGGCGCCAAAAAACAAGGCCCAACGGTAGGTAAGGTTAATTATGTCAATTTCCCTCCCCTCCCTCCCTTCCGGCTAAAGTCCCCTCTACTCTATTCCTGCCCCTTCTTATCCTATTCTACCTCGTATACATACAAACGACCTTCATCCGTCGTCGCCTCTTTTTGATATCATAATGACAACTGGCAAACCTGAGCCGCCCTTGTGACTTAGTACGGAGCAAGAATGGGGCGGTTGTGACCCTGATCTGTTGACTTGCTTTTTTTTTTTTTCACCCTCAGCCCTTTCTCCGGAGTCTCAAGTAAGAAGGGGTGGCGCTGAATACAGGAATTCTTCCCAGGGATGCGTTGCGGACTTCATTGTGATATGTAGCAAGCAATTTACTTGGGACCATCCGCCATCCAAACGCGACAGGGGAAAAAATAGAAAAGAAAATAAAAAAAAGAAACACATAATTATAATAAAATAGAAATTCCAACAAAAGGGTTCCAGGATAGGGGGACTGTGCATACCTGCAGAAGCAATCAAGGAACCGATCAAAGCAATAGGCCTAAGCTAAGGCGATCAACCAGATCGGGAACCAACCCTTCTGTTCCCCGGTATGCGACTCCGCCTGGGGATAGGCAGGCAATTCCAATGATCGTGGTACATGTCGCCAGCTAATGGGTAGCCCAGTACTCCGTACGGAGGACCAAGTCGTACACCCAGAAGATCGATATTTTAGGCCATTTCAGCCGGCGTGGTTGGACCAGCTACGTCGACGTGTCATATGGAAAGGAGTACAGGCCAACGATACTTCCCAGAATGTACCTTATCCGACACACTTAGGCGGAGAGACTGTGTGTGAGAGAGCAATCGTACTTTGTTTCTATCCCGAGGGGTTAATGGCGGATAAACAGCACGTCAAACGGCCGGAAAATTTGATCCCAGGCAAATGGATAGGGTGGAATTGAGCGATCGATTTGTAACCCCGAAAAGGAAAAGACTATAGTATAGTATGTGATAGAAGCAAGAAAAAGGAATATGTGGTTGGAGAAGCAGTCCAGAACGTCCAGGGTTACCTTAACTTACTCCCTGAGTAGGCTAGAGGGCTCTTACACCATATCAAGAAGGTATGATTTTACTGCACTGAGAATGTAGTCCGAAGTCAAGTCCGTGGCGAAAGCAGTTTAATTAATGGTCGTAAGTCAGCAGGCCTCAGTATGGCAACGCGGCCTGGTGAACTGTCAGTCATGCTTTCGGTAGGGGGGCAGAAAAATTAATAACAATAAAATAAGAAGGCGTTCTTGCAAGACCTGATCCCCGACCTATTGGTATAGGTTTGGAGTTAGCCCTGGCCGGTTGTTCGTTCCGGAGTATCTCGTCGCAGAGCTAAGGACAAGGAGGTACCTCCGTGGACCTCTCCGGCCTGACTACGGGATATGGAGTACCTAACTATGGTTAAACCTGGCTTATGAGTGTGCCTATTCAATCATTATTACTCAAGGCGTTGTTGACAAGTGCGGAGTGATATCAGAACAGCTCATCAGGGCCAATCATTCGAGACCCATTTTTGAGGAAGTCAAGTGACGCGCGAGAGGAGTACACAGAGAACTGCCTTAGTCAGCGGCAGAGGGAGGAGGTCACAGGACAGGACGATCTTTGTCTGGATGTTTGTCTAGAACCAGTTGCTTCCTCTCTATCGCCATGGTTATTTTTAGGTAAGATCAGCTTCTCTCTACAATGTACACTGTCGAATTCTTCCATCGTATGACACGTATGTTCCTTTTAATTTGGATGGGTGATTCCTCACCAACACCTTCCAGCTGAACTGGACTTCTGGTCGATGTATAAAATGCAGTGGCAGCATTATGTACATTCCTTGAGCGGAGAGTACAGAGTAAGACCGCACCTGGATGCAGTAGGGAAGACCGCATTCACCGTATCTCCAGTACTCCGTTCCGTACTTTTTTCTTCTGGGTGGGACTCCGGAAACAGACCGGTAATATTACCTTGGTCATGACAAGGTATGAAATACCAGTCGACCCACGGGGATACTCCGGAAGTAACGCACTAAAAAAATGGAAAATGGAAAAAAAGAAAAAGAAAATAATCGTAAAACCAAAAATTATTAATAAAAGAAAATGAATATTCAATTTCTTTTTTTTTTCTCTCCCTCCCCCATCCAGGCCCCGACCATGAAGGAGACGCGGCTAGGATCCTTCCTTTTTACTTACCGCCATCGTAGAACCTGTTCCTCGGTACCCTCGTCGGCCTTTTCTCTGTGTGGCCACCCTCGATTTCCTTTTTCCCTTCCCTTTCTCCCCTTGTACCGTTACCATATTCATACACCATAACCGCTCTTCCCCCCCCCGTCCCATCTCCACCGACCCGTCATTAAGTATCTATCTTCCCTTTTCCCTCTTTCTTCGTTCGCTCCACCCACTAAGTTTCTCCTCCCCCATATTTCTCTTTTCTTAATTTTCTCTCTTCCTCTTTTCCCTCTCCTCTTCCCTTTCCCTCTTCAATCTCTCTCGCCTATCCCTCCACCGCGATCCATCGTCTAGACTCACCCCTCGTTCTTTCCCGAATCCGGTAAATCTATACCTCGCCGGCATCCATTCCTCTCTTGTCCTCCTTTCGACCGCTACCTGCTTCCGGTCATTTTTCCCGCTCCGTATCGCCTCGAATTCCGTGGGATTGAACGTTCTCGACTACTCGATCTCAATTGTCGATCGACCCTTCTCTCCGGCCGTACCTCTCGCCCAACCCTAGTCCCTCGACTCGACGTGCTGTACCTTACGACAGCTCAGGCGCCAATTCTTCGTCATATTGGATTCCAACCACGCCGTCGGGACGCGTACGACCGAGACCAAGATCTGGGGAAACATCTTACGAAGACGAGGGAGCTCTTCCGCATCGACAATCTCGCGCCGTACGACCACGCTCGGGGGAGACGGCGACCCCGAAACTACACATCATAGATTGTTTGGAAGGACTTGCAAAATTGAGGACCGGGACCGTTGACAAGATGCCTTCGCGGTTATCAACCCCCGTTCTTACGGTGGATACGGAAAAGATTCACAAGGTGGACACGGCCAATGCGCAGAGTCTTCACGGCATGTGGATGGGTAAGTACCTGCTTCTGTGTCTACTTCGCCCAGATGCGATCGACGGGTTTTAGGGGAAAAGCTGACATTTTTGGACTGTGACACCAGTCTTTTCGAAATGTGCCGATTACATGGAAGAAGGCCGTCGATTGGAGAACCTGAGTTGGAGACTTTGGACACGTGAGACCTTCTGCGTGGAACCGGAAACATCTAGCGATACTTCGGTTTTGCCACTCCTCCGTCAGGAAGCGGGTGACTTGCCAGAACTTTCCGCCAGTGTCGAATCTGCTGCTTCGGATCAGGCGGAGCGGATAGAACACCACATCAAGCGTCCCAAGTCTGACTACCGGCCTGCAGTTGTTCGTGAAGATTCTTTGTTGAGCCTCGGCAGAGGCAAGGAGAAGCACATCACATCACTAGGCCTGGAGCGAATGGTTCTCAACATCAAAGAGAAGAGGAATCTTGAACCCTTGTCCCCCATGACTACCGTTGCCCCTCCCGTCGTCGACATCACCCCTCGACCGTCCACTCCCACTCCTACTCCTCCCTCCGTCTCTACCGCCAAACGAACTCCTCCCTATCCTATCAGCCACCACCAACAGCCCAACCAGTCTACGGAATCTTGCTCGACCACGGCCCCCGATTGCAACGACAGCGATGCTGCCAACGCCACCGCGTCGGATACTAGCGTTTCGTCCTCTGGTATTCTTCCTAGTCGCCCTGAATTGATCAAGTCGCCCAGCATCGTCCGTGGTTTCTCTCCCTCTCATGTCTCTTCGTCCTACCGATCTCAGCCAAACCTGGCTGCTGATCCCAGCCCCGCCAAGTCAACGCAACTCAAACCGATGATGCCTTTCAAGAAGAAGGGTGGTATGTTCACTCTGGGCGGCTCGTCCGGTGACGACGACGAGAGCTCCTTCGAAGACCGCATGGCGATGCAAGGACCACACCGTAGCTCGCTCTCCGACGAACTGGGCAAGTCCGCAAGCAACCAACCCAGCCCAAAAAAGAAGGTCACCTCTTTCAAGGATCAAGTTGGAACTATCAAGCCTAGCAAGGAGCGACCTGTCGTCGACAACGACGAAGATGCTATCGAGACCGAGGACGAAGTTTCCGAAAGCGCCATTGAAGACGACGAGGACTCGGACTGGGAAGACTCCGTGACGGAAAGCGGCCGATCGAGTGTGGAGGAAAACCAAATGTTTCAACGGGTTGATTCGCGACCGAACCTGGTTTCGCGACGCTCCATGCTGACGATGATGATGCACCAACCGGCGAAGATGGGAGCCACTCGATCGAGCCCAGCTTTGCAACGGTCGCGTCTGACATCACCTAACGGACCTTCGATCCCCGCTTCTCCGCCCGAGGATGACGAGGAGAGCCTGACTATGCGCGGACCCGATGTGCCTCGCTCCAAGCCTATCGTCATGAAGCCTTCCCCGCAGTCGGTCGCCCATTCCCCGCGGACAACGCGAAGAAACATGCTTGCTACTGAGTTGACCGAGTCTCTTCGCCGCCACCTGCTCTGGGAACGGCAACAAAAGAGCACCACTGCCAACGCTTTCTTGAAACGTCGACACACTGCTCATGACATGGCGAACCTGCAAGAGTATCCTGGGCCTAGTGGTACTCAGAAAGGACAGGCCCCTAACCAAGGGATTGGCATAACGAATGCCAACGCGGCCAATCAGAGCCAGGACAAGGACGTTGCGAAAACTGGCTCTTGGACCAACTACACTGATTTCGGGCCCTGGGAGTACCACGTGAAGGGCTGGTAAAGAAGCACCATTGTGTTTTCGATTCATCTCCCGGAAACAACAAAACCGACAGCAAAACAAAATTTCTCCTATCTGTGTCAGAACATATCCTTCGGGTAATGTCGATTGACCATGATACCCCTCTTATCATACGCATACGCTTCATTTTTCCTTTTTGTTTATGTAAAGACCCTTGATTTGAATATCCCTGTGACACGTACGATCACGACTCTGCATTGCATCTTGGCGCACAACGGCATCATATGGTTGTTATTCCTGACCTAATCTATTTTTCGGGTCTTTTTTCTTTTCTTTCTCTTTTCTGCGTCTGGTCATTGCATCGTGTGGCTATCTGCTCTGTTACTATCATATGAGCCACTTAGAGGACAACACCTCGTTTACGCAATTAATATTCATGTACAGATGATCTCATTTGTTTCAACAGGCCGGATTCATTGGCATTTCTCTTTGGACACGGGGTTTTTCTCCAATTTTTACGATTTTCTGTTCGAATATTGTTTTGGGTGGAACCCTTGAACCAGAGGCTCAAGGATGTCATTATCGCGTCTACTTTGACTGCTCGCGTTCATTGCAGCAAGGCAAAAGAAAACCACTGTTTATCATGCATTTTCAAAACTTGTCATCTTGCTTTATCTTCTGATACCAGATACCATATTATGCGTTGTGATTTGTTTCCAAGTTTCATTTTCCTATTTCCTGGACTGCAGTTGGGTCTAGCCTGCACATGTGTCATGTATGTTATAGTAAAAAAATTTCCTTTTTGCTCAGATATCTACCAAAAATAAAATCAAATAAACATGGAACAATGAAAGCCCACGGAGATGATGACCTGCCTTATCTAGCATCGAGTACCAGCTCCCCGGCCTATACCAGACAGCGACAGGGATCCAATGGCGCCCGTTCTTAAAGGGCGGCACCGGCGACAGTCCAGCTCAGCGTGCAGGTTCCTGTCGAGATCTAGAATTGTCGCACTGATCCCTTCACATGCCGTGCAAGATTCTTAATCGATTATTAATTATCAACTTAATTAATTTTACATTTACTTGCGAGAGACTACGAGTACGAGGTAAGCTGCCACGGGTACTTCGGTCTTTATATTTGATTTTGTTCGATCTCATTATTCTCCTTCTTCCTAACCGAATTCTCCTAAGTACACGGAGTCATTGATTCAATTATGGTCAGTCATGCTCTATCATTTCTCTCACAGATTTCCTCCCCTGCAACAACCATACTGTAGACACCGACATCGATATCGATCCGACACCGACATCACTATCTCCTCGACTCCTCACCCCTAGCTTCTGTCCTACCTTCCTGAGCCCAAACACGCCGACTGAATAATCATAGATCCGAAGGTGTGACGGAGCAAAGTGCACGGAACCACTCGGATCGAATTCAAGGTGACATGAGATTATGGTGGGATGCTTGCTTGCTTGCTTGCTTGCACCACCAACATACCACATACCAGTCAGTCGCCCCTCCTTTCTAACCTCTCTATCTAGCTCTAGTGCCTTGATGTTGTGTTAGGATATGTTGGGCCTTTGTGACTGGATTACTGACTAGTTCTTTGTGGCGATTACAGCGAGGTATACCATATACTTCGGTTTGGGGGGCTGCCTTTTCCAATATTGTTGTTGTTGGAGTGATATCCTGCAGGAAAGGCTTGCCGTATATTGAGTACTTTACATCCGCTGGTCAATTAATTGATGAAATTACCCTATCCAGCTAACTGACTAACTAATGAATTGTCTCAAATTGCTTAACTACGAGTATAGTAACATCGTGAGTGCTCTAGACCATCGCATAAGCACTAAAGAGACCTGTCTCTGCGTCGCCTTTCCTGCCTATTCTGGAAAACCCATATATTACTCTTCCGGTAGATAGTCAGTAGTGACTTGGCTGACCTGAATAATAATAAGAAGTACGGTAAGTATCCATGCACGTCCAACACATGTAAGTAAGCAACTAAGTATGCATAGTTACCGGGCCGAGATCACAAGAAATCGCCAACAAGAACGGAAGAATGCAAGTCATATGCTTTGCACGTGCATTTTCATTTTTTTGTTCGAGTCTTTTAAAGTTTCTAAAACAAAGTCTTTGCCACAAGTCCGGGGATATGTGGCGGAGAAGTAGGTAGATTGGGTTTCTTCTTTAATATTAGGATTTAGGATTAGGATTTTGTTTTTCCTTTTTTCTTTTTTCTCTTTTCCAATTTAGGTTTTTTGGGACTCGCACGAGATGGGAAAAACTGGACTTTCTTGCTAACTTTTCTACCCGCGGGGAGGAAGAAAAAAAATTAAAAAACTTAAGCTGCCTGCTCCTGTCTGTTCATGTGCTTGGGGGGGGGAGTTGGCCATGACGTAACGAATATGTTATATACGTTACGTTGCATTCAAGACGGAGTCAAATGACGGCTGATGTCAATGTTTGATACAAGAACATCATCATGGAATCATTCCCGGATTCCTCGATCGCGCCTTTCTGAAGGTAGTACACGGTGTAGGTTTGGATATGGGGTTGTTTCTTCGTAGCACAGTGCTCCGTGGTCTATGCTTGAAATGGGAAGTTATGGAGAAGGAATAATTAGTCAGGAAGAATCGTGCATAACAACTAGAAAGTAGATGCGTGAGATTCACCCCCAGCAGGAAAAAATACAGTACAGCTAGGCGGTTTATAGTGTAGTGTTAGTTCAGATTTTACTGTACAGACTACAGAGTGCATCAGATGAGCCTCTCCAGTCCTCACCGATCCACCGGTAAAACGAAAAAAAAGAGAAAAGGAAAAAGCAGAAAAAAAGAAGTGAGGGAAAAAAATTACCGTCCCTGAACTTCCCGACCACTATACCTAAATCGCTCAAACCTTGACGTCCGACTGTTCCCGATAAACGTGGAGTAACGATCCTGCAAACCATCGTGGCTGGAGCTAGAAGCCCGTCAACCGGATCTCCAGCTTCCCAGGACGGCCTTCTCATTCGGCCGGGTTTGACCAGCTTGTCCTGATTGAGTTTACTTCGAGGATCGAAGGGAAAGAAAGAAGTTGGAGAGGTTTCCGTGTGGATCTTTCTGTTCTTCTTACCTCTTCTTTCCCTCTGGCCAGTGAGGAATCGTTAAATTCGGACGGGATCAAATTCTGGACCTTTTGCTGAGTCACGGGTTGGGACTCGTTTTTTACTTTTTTCAGCTGGGTTGCTGCTTGCGGGTCCTGGATTCGGTGGGTCGGCGGGGGAAGGCAAGGTCGGGCAGAAGACTGATTCGTTGTTGAAAGTAGGTGCTAAACCTCACCGGTACTGTTAGGCTGTTATACAATGACAATGTATTGAGTATAACAGGCAACAAATACAAGAGTATCTTGGGGGTTAGTCCGTGGTCGATTATCAGGTCTAGATGTCTCGCTGTACGGTGTAAGGCTATACAGTAAGTATAACGGGCATATCTCTAAAACTTGATATGCGGATTATGTGTCCCACCCTCCAGTCTACCAGTTCCTTTCCCTCTGATACATTTCAATGGATAAGAGGCTGGGAGGTGGGGGGGGTCTAGGAGAGAAAAAATTTTCCTTCTTGATGCAATGACATGCATACATTCTGGGCTGGGCCTGGCTTTTTTGTCAATTGTGTTCTCTTTTCGGCATAGGTTGGGCGTTGCGGTCTTGCCCGTGCATGAATTTTTTTCTCTCTCGGAATGCCGGTTGCGTCTTTTGTGTGGCGGTCCCGACCGAGATGTGCTTTCGGCATGCCGAGTACTTCTACTCGGTCGGGGATTTTGGATGCCGAATAGTATCTTCTTGTTTACTTTTCTCTTTATGTATGCATATATCATCGAATAGTATGCCCTTTTGCCATACATCTTGTAAAACACTCACTGCAGATTCTGAAGACACTCTCCCTCTAAATGACCTCATCTCCTCCATCTCTCCATTCCAACTCGAAAACCGGACTATGCTGAAACCAAGGCACACACACAACCTACTCTGTAGTCCGTATAGCATCGGCGTCAAAGCAAGACATTAATGAATATCCGGAGCACAGTCCTCCAAACCCGACCCCATCTTCCACTTCAACAGAGTCACAGACCCCCCAAACGCCCCAACCAATGACAAGATCTGATGTCATCTGAGGAGCCAAAAAAACACTGAAAACCGCCCCAGTCCACGCCCTTATCCTTGATTTAATTCAAATTCAAAGACCATAGCGCGGAAAACAAGACAACCCTAGTTTACCCTACGGAATGCTCCGCTCCCCGTAAGGTGACTAAATGTAAGACTAAAAGGGCCAAATGTTTCCAATTTCGCGCTATCCTTCAGATCCATCCCGAGGAATCGGGACGATGCCGAGCTCTGGCGGCGGGCGCTCTTGCAGAGGAAAATCGGTAGACCGACCGAGGCCCTGTTTTCGGGATCAAAATGCCGGGTTGGGTTTAGGGCTTTCCTGTTTGGGGGTTACGGAGAGGAGGGAGCGCGGAGTGCTGCGCTCCGTTGAAGTTAGGCTAGACTAGAGGTGTTTTTTTTTTTTTTTTTTTGGGTTGTGGGACGCGGCGGTTTGACGTGGATGGACTGGAGACGGAGTATGGCATTTGCTGGTCTGCTAAGTGCTACTAGACAGGATGGGTTTAGTAGGTAGGTATCTATGACTGTGTAGGTTTAGTGGTTTGAATGCGTGTATTCTTTTACTCCGCGGTATTACCTACCAACGGAGTACTGTGTGTATCCATGGATGTGTGTAAGAATCCAAGAACTTAACCTACCGTACACTGTCTACTCAGTGTTGAGGCTGGATATGTAACGTATCCGAGATGATGTAGTTGTAAGTATCCAGTGAGATGGATGATGCCTCCTGAAGGCATAAAAGTCAAACTACAGGGCGGCAGCACCTAAAAACCCAAGCAAAAATCAGCCACTTACCCCATGTCCCGTGACATTTCAATCCCGAGTCCCTAATTGGCCAGCCATCAAATCATGTGAAATACCCGGAACCCCCGACATGACGTCTCCCGGTCTAATAA